TGGTGGGTAGTCCTGTCCCAGGCACATAACATTTTTAGTAAAATGTTTATCTTTGCCTTAAGCAAGCCCTGTCCATTTTTCTGTGCATCTAGATTAACACACTTTCGAAATGCCTCTTTATTCTTTCATACCCTTCAGAAACATGACCACCCTGGAGAGCACATGCCTCGTTCGACATGCTTGCACCTTGCTTTCTCCCATCTTCAATTAATTCCAAATGTATAAGAGAAACTGCAAAACTGTCACTCTCTGCCCTAACCTGTTTGGCTCAGTGGATAGAGCGTCGGCCTGCAGACTCAAGGGTCCCAGGTTCGATTCCAGTCAAGGGCATGTACCTTGGTTGTGGGCACATCCCCAATAGGGGGTGTGCAGGATGTTTCTGATCGATGTTTCTCTCTCATTGATGTTGCTAACTCTCTATCCCTCTCCCTTCCTCTCTGTAAAAAATCAATAAAATATATTTAAAAAAAAATAAAATAAAAATAAAAAAAACAAAAAAACTGGCACTTTCTGGAGCATTTGAGATCCTCCTTCCCAGCACTGTGTCAGTTTGGCTCAAATAAACTCTTTTTTTTAAAAAAAAAATGTTTTTATTGATTTTAAAGAGAGGAAGAGTGAGGGAGAGAAAATAATGATGAGGAACTAATTGACAGGCTCCCTCCTGCACGCCCACCTTTGGGGACCGAACCTGTAACCTGGCATGTGCCCTGACCAGGAAACTTCTGGTGATCTCCTGGCTCATAGGTTGACACTCAACCACTGAGCCATGCTGGCTGGGCTCAAATAAACTTTTTTTAAAAATAAATCTTTATTGTTCAGATTATTACAGTTGTTCCTCTTTTTCCCCCCCATAGCTCCCCTTCACCGGGTTCCCACTCCACCCCATGCCGTTACCCCGCCTCCCCATTGTCCTTGTCCATAGGTGTAAGATTTTTGTCCAATCTCTTCCTGTACCCCCTACTCCCCTTTCCCCCTGAGAATTGTCAGTCCACTCCCTTTTTTTTTCTTTAAAATATATGTTATTGATTTTTTTACAGAGAGGTGGGAGAGGGATAGAGAATTAGAAACATCGATCAGCTGCCTCCTGCACACTCCCTACTGGGGATGTGCCCGCAACCAAGGTACATGCCCTTGACCGGAATCGAACCTGGGACCCTTGAGTCCACAGGCTGACGCTCTATCCATTGAGCCAAACTGGTTAGGGCTCCACTCCCTTTCTATGCCCCTGATTCTATTATATTCACCAGTTTATTCTATTCTTCAGATTTTTTATTCACTTGATTTTTAGATTCATTTGTTGATAGATATGTATTTGTTGTCACTTTGATGTTTATAATTTTTATCTTTACCTTTTTCTTCCCCTTCTTAGAGAATACCCTTTAGCATTTCATATAATACTGGTTTGGTGGTGATGAACTCCTTTAGCTTTTTCTTGTCTGTGAAGCTCTTTATCTGACCTTCAATTCTGAATGATAGCTTTGCTGGGTAGAGTAATCTTGGTTGCAGGTTCTTGCTATTCATCACTTTGTATATTTCTTGCCCCTCCCTTCTGGCCTGCACAGTTTCTGTAGAGAAATCAGCTGACAGTCATATGGGTATTCCCTTGTAGGTAACTGTTTTTCTCTTGCTGCTTTTAAGATTCTCTCTTTGTCTTTTGCCCTTGGCATTTTAATTATGATGTGTCTTGGTGTAGTCCTCTTTAGATTCACCTTGTTTGGGGTTCTCTGCGCTTCCTGGATTTGTAAGTCTATTACTTTCACCAGAGGGGAAGTTTTCTGCCGTTATTTCTTCAAATAGGTTTTTAATATCTTGCTCTCTCTCTTCTTCTGGCACCCCCATAACTTGGATGTTGGTACACTTAAAGTTGTCCCAGAGGCTCCTTACACTATCTTCTTATTTTGGGATTCTTTTTTCTTTTCCAGTTGGGTTTATTTTTTGTTTTTGTTTTTGTTTTGTTTTTGCTTCTTCGTATTTCAAATCTTTGACTTGAGTCTTGGGATCCTCTCGTCTGCTGTTAGATCTCTGTATATTATTCTTTATTTCAGTCAGTGTATGCTTAATTTCTGATTGGTCCTTTTTCATATCCTTGAGGGTCTCACTAAATTTCTCAGAGGTTTCTAGAAGATTCTTTAGTAACCTTATAACTGTGGTTTTGAACTCTATATCCAGTATTTTGCTTTCCTCCATTTCTTTCATTTGTAACTTGTTTCTTTGTCTCTGCATTTTGGCTGCTTCCCTATGTTTGTTTCTATGTACTGGGTAGCTGCTAAGTCTCCTTGAGTTGATAGAGTGGCCTTGTGTGGTAGGTGTCCTATAGGGCCCAGTGGCTCAGCCTCCCCAGTCACCTGAGGTGGACACTCTTAGTGCACCCCTTTATGGGATGTTTGCACAGTCTTGTTGTAGTTAACTCTTGATTGCCGTTGGTATCACTGGGAGGAACTGACCTCCAGGCCAACTGGCTTTGGTGACCAGCTGTGTCTACACTGGAAGATCTGTTGCACAGGAGACACCATTATGGGGCAGAACTTGCTTCAGTAGGGCTTTGGTGCTCACTGAGTCTGCCCCTTGAGTGTGTCTCTTATGGATGTGAAGAGTTGTAATCCGTTATCATCTCCAAGGAGGTGCAAGGTCAGCCACTGTCTGGGGCCACCCAGTAGGAGCTACAGAGACATCTGCAGATTCCTCCTCTTTATATGGAGTTTGGAAGTGCCCAGCTGTGATGCAAGGCTGCTGCTGCTACCAGGTATTGGGCCTTCCTTTGGAATCTCTGGGGCTCTCTGACCCAGCTGCAGTTTGTTTTAGGCGAAAGGACGGGCAATTCATATGCAAAAGCCAATGCGAACAGCTTGGGTGGGGTTTAAAATGGGTGGGGCAAGGTCTCTGGGAATCACCAGTTCAGAGCAAACAGCAATGGCTTGCTTCCCTGAACCGGAGAAGTCTCTGGTTCTCTGACCCGCGCACCCGTGCAGGAACAATGATTACTTCGAGCACCTCTAAGAGTAAGCCGCCCTCACATTCCTGTCCCAATGCCAGACAGTCCAGTTTTTTCCCGTATGTGTCTGGGTTTCCTAGATTCTCGCCTGTAACTGGAATTCAGGGCAAGCGGGAGCTTGAATCTCCCTCCGGGTTTAAAGAACAGCACATCCAGGTGTCAGCATTTTCCGCGCCTCCACACCTCTTACCAGTCTCAACGCGCTTTCTTCACCTTTCTAGTTGTAGAATTTCCACTCAGCCAGCTTTCCCGCGGTTCTGGGTGGTAGTTGTTCTGCCATTTAGTTGTAATTTTGGTGTGGTTGTGAGAGGCAGCAAGTATAAGTGATTACCTATACTGCCATCTTCTCCCTCTCTCAAATAAACTCTTATAATAAAAATTCTCTACAAATTTGGACATTTCTTACATCGACAGCGCCATAAATTAGGTCTCTAGACCTGGCCGGCATTGCTCACTGGTTAGAGTGTCACCCTGCACACCAAAGGGTCGAGGGTTCGATTCTGCATCAAGGGCACATACTTGGGTTACAGGTTCGATCCCCACCTCAGTCGGGGCACATGCGGGATGCAACCAATCGATGTGTCTCTCTCACATCAGTGTTTCTCTCTCTTTCTCCCCCTCCCTTCCACTCTCTCTAAAAAAGCAATAGAAAAAATGTCCTCAGGCATAAATGTCCTGGGGCATAAAGTCTAAATACTTAGCACAGAATTCAAGATACAATCGGAAGGAGTACCAACCTATTTGTACTGATATCCTATCTCCTCAACTTCAAATAAGTAATTGTGTCTAAAGGCATGTAAAACTAGCCCTAGCTGGTTTGGCTCAATGGATAGAGCATCAGCCTGCTGACTGAAGGGTCCCGGGTTCGCTTTCAGCCAACGACACATGCCTGGGTTGCGGCTCGGTCCCCAGCGGGGGGTGTGCTGGAGGCAGCCAATCAATGATTCTCTCTCATCATTGATGTTTCTCTCTCCCTCTCCCTTCCTCTCTAAAGTCAATAAAATAAATAAATAAATAAATAAATAAATAAATAAAGGCATGTAAAACTAGTGGTGCTTCCCGAACATTCCTTGTATCTGTACTGGCTCTTTAGTAGGGTACTACCCCGTGGGGTCTGTGGTAATCCTATCTTTAGACTTCAACTCAAATGCAAAGTCCCTGTGAATTATCTCTTGACCACTCCAGGATGGAGTTCAGTCTCCTTCTCGCTGACACTTACACAATAAAGGCCAGTTTTTAGTTTCCTACCACATCGAACTTCTACTTCCCTTACTGTTAGTTATGCACACATTCCCATCCTCACCCCAGCCCAGGCCAGCTTTAACTGAGGACAGATATACAGAGTCATTTTCATCTGCTCCCAAACCTCAACACAGTCCTGAGAAACTGGACAATATACTAGAACCTGCACCCCGCGTCCTCTGCACGCTCTACATTAAACTGCACCTTGTACCTCTCGGGTCCTTGCTTATCAGGAGCTCCCCAGCAGCTTCCACCTGCGTGTCACCCAGTGACTCGCAGGAGCATAACCGCCCAGGGCCGCAGAGAGGTGCGGGGTGTTGGAGAGGAGACGGGGTTTGACTTCACACTTACATCGGGGCTGTTGAAAGGAGAGTGGGCGCATCCACCCAGACCCCAAGAGTCCAAAGGAGAACACCCCAGCCTGAGGCTGGAGACCCGACGGGGCTAAGGGGAAGGCCGGGGCTAAGGTCGGACACCGAGTCCCTCCTCTCGGACAGGTGAGGCTCAGCCGCCCGCGGCCCCCCGCGCCCCTCACCACCCCCGCGCACCAGCCCCTCTCGCCCGCGTCTGCACCTTCATGCCCAGGACATCACGAAAGAAACGCGCCGTCTGGAAGCGGTTTCCCACTTTGAAGACGAAGTGCAGAGCTCGGCGCGTCTCCATGACCAGCAGCGCTACACAACCATCCCGCACACTGTGCCGCTCCGCCCGCAGAGCCGCTCCGCCCCCAGACGACGCGGACGGCGCGGTGACGTCATCGCGCGCCGCGGGCGCACTTTCGTGACGCAGCCCCCCGGCGCCGGGGAAGATGGCGATCCTGGTGAAGGGCGTGGGATGGGCCCCGCGGCCGTTGCTGCCGGTGGTCCAGGCTTGGGACCTCGACGCCCGGCGCTGGGTCCGGGCGCTGCGGCGGAGCCCCGTGAAAGTGCTGTTTCCGTCCGGAGAGGTGGTGGACCGGAAGCCCGGCCCCGGGAAGCGGCCCCGGAAGGCGGCAGCCGAGGCCAGTCCCCACGTGCAGCGACCGCAACAGGCGCCTCAGGAGCCCCCAGCCCAGACGCCCAGCACCTGGGAAGAGTCGGGGCTTCGCTACGATAAGGCCTTCCCCGGGGACAAAAGGCTGAGGTGACGTGTTCCTAAACCGCGTGGACGCAGTGCCCCGTCTCCCTTCCCGCCTCCCAGCGGGCCTGACCCTCTCTCCTCCGGCGGAGGACCCGCTCCAGCACCACCCGCTGGCTTTGGTCACGCACGGAGGGCAGCGCGGGCCTCCTGTCCGTTAGGACGAGGCGTACCTCCGAGTCGGGAATGCATGCTCATTGCCAGTCTCTGTGTTTCCGCCCCCAGCAGCGTGATGACGGTCGTCAAGTCCAGGACATTCCGGGAAAAGCAAGGGAAGATCCTGCTGGAAGGCCGCCGGCTGATCGCGGACGCCCTCAAGGCCGGCGCTGTGCCCAAAATGTTCTTCTTCAGCCGCCTGGACTACCTGAAGGAGCTGCCCGCCGATAAGCTGAAGGGGGTCCGCCTCGTTAAGGTGAAGTTTGAGGATATCAAGGAATGGTCCGACCTAGTAACACCGCAAGGAATCATGGGTCAGTGGCTGCGCGGTGTGTCACCAGCAGTAGAGGCCTGGGGTGGTTCGTTCATGCTTGTCTCGGGGGAACACATTTTATTGAAACCAGATTCAAAGTGTTACTGAAGATGCCCAGAAAAATAGAGTTCTCCCATCTTCTAGAAATCGTGCATCTTCTAGTATCGTTAGTGGAAAGTGAAGCCATCATCATTTGTATTACGGCTCTTTATTCCTCACACATTTTTTTTTTTTTAGGACATTTCTTCAACCTTTAATGTCCAACTAAAACTTAGGGAAACGTTTGCCAAAAGATTTAGCCACCCATTTCCACAAAACCCCTGCCCGTGTGCTGATAGCTGTCGTTGACTCCCTTGTTCTAGAAGCAGGACTGAGCGCCAATGGACTGCCCAGTTTAGCCCACGGAACAGGAGGCCTTGTCTCCCTTTGCTTGAATCTAACGTAAGGTTTTATGTAGCTGTGACGTCGTTGATAGGGCAGGTACAGGGATGTACGAGTAGGTGTTCTTGGTGTGAATAAACTGCAAGGGCTTGTGGGGAGGGCGGGCAGTATCAGTTACCGTGAACAGTGCGCACACGCCATTTACTCGTTTCACTTAGAAGGGAGTTTTTCCCAGGGAAATGTTTAGACCTGTGCACAGAGAGGCGTACAGGGATGTTTACTGCCGGGTTGTTCATAATAGGGGAAATTGAAAAATATCCTCAATGTCAGCCCGTTGAAGATTTAAATAAACGTAGTACATTCAAGTTACAAAACAAGAAGCAGCACTTAAAAGAAAAAGATAGCTCCAAATGTATTGACTTGGTAAGTTCTCAAAGACGCGTTAGAGACTTAGGTAAGTAGATTACAGGATAATACTGAGTATGATTTATTTTGTAAAAGAATAAAAGCACCTCTGTGTGGGTAGATGTGCACATATGTAGGTAGCTGCATGGAACAAGTTCTGAAAGTATACAGTACACTTCCAGATTGAAAGCACTTATGCGGGGGATCACTGGTAGGACTTCCTCTTTGAATTTTTTCAACCAGAATGTATTCAAGTAATTAAGAATATAGGTAGTGAGAAATAAAAGTCTAATTATTCCCCATGTCTACATTAGACAAGTGAACTTCCTGTTTTGTTTCCTCAGGGATTTTTGCCAAACCTGATCATGTTAAGATGACATTCCCAGCGACTCAGCTTCTCCATTCCCTGCCCTTATTGTTGATTTGTGACAATCTCCGAGACCCTGGGAACCTGGGGACGATTCTGAGATCTGCTGCTGGGGCAGGTTGCAGCAAAGTATTACTCACCAAAGGTAAGAGCGCTTGTGACTGGATGGCCATTTGTCAGTGAGCTGGCTCTGGGCAGACATGCCTGGATTTGAATCTTGGGTCTGCTCCTCATTAGCTACATGTCTGAGTGAAATTCTGAGTGTCAGTTTCCTCCTCGATAATGTGGGTATGAAAACAGAATCTACATGGAAGGTAGGATCAAGTTTTGAGGATCAAGTGACATAATGCACAGACAGTACTTGGCATTGTACCTGGCACATAGCAATTCAGTATATGTTGATTATCTTTTAAAATTATTTTGACACCTGCTAAGTTATTAAAGAAAAAACTTAAAATCAGTCAGGGAAAGAAGTAGATGCTAGTTTTAATTTTTGATTTCAAGTCCTTTATTTAATGATCTTGAGTTTTCAAATTGTTGGGTATATGAGACCATTCTAATTCTTTGACATTCTGAATCCTGTGAAAGGAAATTATTTCAACAGAGTGCGATTATGAAATTGTGATACATTTCCCTTAGCCTCAGAAGTCAAACACCCCACAACACAAATTAGCCTCGTTACATTTTTTTCCTGTCTCCTCATTAGAAATGGGGATTAGTAAGTTTGGTTCTAAACAGACTTGCCTAACAGTTGGGACAAGCCTAAAATGCCTATTACAACTTAGGGGAGGGTGGGAAGGAGAGGATCATTCATCAGAAATACTCAAGTTACCTTTCAGTGTAAACTAAAATTGGTACCCATTGCTGAGACTTGCCTAAATTCCTCTTTTAACTTTTCCCCCAGTCACACGTTGGAGTGCATTTCTCTGCCAGTGAGGGCTGGGTGCTTGGGCTCCATCATCAGTACCCACTTACCTGCCCCATTGGTGAGAGCTCTGAGAGTAGGTGTGGTTTTGGAAATGTTCCTATATAACCCAAGTGATGTTTTCACAATGGTGCTGGGGGCTGTGTATGAGTGGTAGGAAGAGGAGGGAACACTTGGTGTGGTGCACAGTATTGAGGACATGTGGATGGAGGAAATCTCATCTTGCCCTGTACTCCCCCACCAAATAGAGGGGTCACACTAGATGGCTCTCCTCATGAATCTGGGCCCCTTTTTAAAATAACTTGTAGTGAGGAGACTTGTGCTAATGAGGAGGATGGTAGGTTTGTGGTGCCCTGGTCCTGCTGTCTGTTCCAGCACATGGTCCTAGGAAAGGTGAAGTATCTGCCAGTGCATAGAAGTTGTTGGGCTGAGCACGTGCCCGTACGTAAGAGAGTAGGTGGTTTAGCCTTCTTGTTGTAAGAGCAGGTGTGTATGTGAAGGACCAGGCTGTTGCCTTGGCTCTCCCTGGATTACTGTAATTGCCTCCAATCTGATTTCTCCATCTCTAGCATCTTCCCTGCTCCAATCAGATTCAGCATTGAAGCCAAATGACTCTAAAACATAAACCAGATTCTGTCACTATTCTCTTTAAAATCCTTCAATGTCATTTGTCTTCTGGATAAAATCCTGAGCTCATACCATGTGCCTTTAAATTGGTCCTTACCTGCCTCCTGTCTTATCTCCCACCACACCTACCCATTAGTTTCCTAACCCACCTTACTTACAGTGTTTGGGCTGTGGCACTCTTCCCCCTTCTGTAGCTTTGACCTCTCCCTGGGCCTTTCTTTCTCCGACAAGATCCTCCTATCGTTCAAGATCCAGCTCAGTGTCATGTCTCTGGGGTGTTTTTCCTGGTAGTCCTTTGTGCTAGGGTTTTTCTGTTAGTTACCCTTTGCATGCTGCTTCTGTATCATGAGCTCGCTGAGGTGGGGGGCTTTAAATGCTCTTGCATCTCCCATACAATGTCTGGCAGGTGTGAATGTTGAAGGGATGAATAAAGTCTGTTTGGGCACTAGCCGGAATTCCTCCTACAGTCCCATTGCTGGATAGTGCCATATCGGGGAGGCAGCGGTGCCAGCTATCAAGAACCTACAGTAGGAGATTTTTTGCTTTATCTCCTGATCCAGAATTAATCTAGTGGACTTGAAAGTCCCCTCGTCTGGAAAGGTTTGTAATCTTAATTAGATCCTCTTTTATTTTCTAGGCTGTGTGGATCCCTGGGAGCCCAAAGTGCTGCGGGCAGGTATGGGTGCGCATTTCCAGGTGCCCATCATCAACAACCTGGACTGGGAAACAGTGCCCAAGTACTTGCCCGACGATACCCGGGTCTACGTGGCAGACAACTGTGGCCTTTATACCCAGGCCCAGAAATCTAATAAAGCCAGTGACCATGGCTGGATCTGTGACCAACAACTCTCAAAGATTCACAAGTATGAGGAAGAGGAGGAGGAGGATCTAGAAACTGGAGCCAGCAAAGACTGGCTCCCTGAACTTGAGGTCCAGAGTTACGACTTGGACTGGACAGAGGCCCCAGCAGCAGTGGTCATAGGTGGGGAGACGCATGGCCTGAGCTTGGAGTCCCTGCAGTTGGCTGAGAGCACCGGGGGCAGGAGGCTGCTGATCCCTGTAGTGCCTGGTGTGGACAGCCTGAACTCGGCCATGGCTGCCAGCATCCTCCTTTTTGAAGGGAGAAGACAACTGCGGCTCAGGGCGGAACACTTGAGCAGGGACAGGAGTTAGTTATCCCTGAGAGGGGACGTGGAAGTCATCCTTGGTTTGAGGCTGTCTCTAGCTCTCCTACATTAGGCTGGCAGAGTTGGTCATTATGGCTTCCCAACAGCGAGGCATAAAATTGTTGGGTGGTTATTAAAAAATAGAAATTTCCTTGAATTTTTGCTTATTCTTAAAAATAACAAAGGTCAAGATTCTTCCCGAGATCTCCCATTCCCCTCACACGCCAATTTTTTACATATGTGTGAAGGCTACAGGCGATGGCATTCAATAGCCAGCTGTCCTTTCCAGCTGGCTGTGTCAGTCTGCAATTTGTTCAGGCCCTGGCTTAAACAGCCATTGTGTATGTAGAACACGACTCTCCCACTTCTGGTGATACAGCTGGTAGAAGCAGCGTAGTTCAAGTGGCATTAGACCTTCTTAGCACCTCTGCAGATAATCTTTTTAAGGGCTCTGTTCAGAAAAGGAGGAAGCAGTTTTAAAATCTTCAGCTTAGTCTGCACCCGTTGGGAAAGCTGTACCCCCTTTTACTTGCTTCCTGCTGTTACGTAACTTTTGGTTAAATGTACTGACTGGAGTTACTTACATTCATCCCCTCTCCTGCATAGAGGAACAGAACTTAGGAAAGTGCCAGCATTCCTGATTGCTGTGCAGACGAGGGCTTCTGTGAGGGGAGAGAAGCTGAGGTTCTGAGGATAAGAGCCAGGGACCCTTGGGCCCATAACACTAGCTCTTCTGTCAAACCCCCAGCAGACAGTGACTGACTAGGTCCTCGCCACGTGCCAGCTGGGTGTAACCAGGAATAGGCAAATGCAGGTGGTGGTTGCTATGCTTTAAGTCACTGCGGAACTGAAGGGTGTGACCTATCTCAGTCAGTGCTTTTGTGACCACAGAGGATGTGGTTGGAGTTGACACCACCAGAGCAGTGTGGTTTATTGCATCCCTTCTGCACAGTGGCTCCTACAATGGTTAGGGTTCCTTGAGAGCCCTTCAGCTGCTCCTTCCAGGGAGGCTGAGTTGCTGGCATTCCCAAGAGGCACCGAGATCTTCCTTTGCCTTTGGCTTTCCCAGGTCCCTGGTTAAACTTCCTTTCAAGAGAACCAAGAGTCTGACTCATGCCCTAGGTGGCAGGGGAGATTGCTTTGGCATGTTTGAGGGGAGGAGTTTTTGCAGGAACAATCTGGTTGGTTCTCTCCAAGGCTTATCAGAACTTTTGTTCCTGGTGCCACGCTCTGGTCTGCCTGGCCTGCCTAGGGCCCCCCCACCCCCAAATGTCCAATGCAAGTGGCCCACAGATTAAGACCACCAACTTTTAGAAAGTGGAGGAGCCCACAAAGCCTGGGGCTCAGTCTGCCAGCCTCACAGCCACAGTGCCCAGCACTAACTCTGGGAGGCGCCCAGAAAACTGCCACCCCTCTGTTGACATTTGGTCTCAGCACCTGGGAAAAAGTGCTAAAGAAAGTCACTAAAGGGAGGCCCAGGCCTAGTGTTAAACCAGTCTGTAATTTCTGTCCCTGGGTTATGCTTCCTGCTGATTTTTGTTACAAAATAAAAATGAAAGAAACGCTATACCTTGTCCTTGTTCAGAAAAACAGTAATCCCAAGCCTATTTTATCCTGGGTGTAAGATGGAAATGAAATTTACAGCACTTTCACTTTGTGGCCAATGGCTTATACACCATGCCTAGTGATTGCCTTTTGTGTTTTTGTGGGTATAATATCAGAGGGGAGGGCACATTTTCCTTTCTTTAAAATGACTATAGGGGAAGCAAGTGAAGTTCTTGTTTGCTGAGTAATATTGGAAAATCGCTATCTTGAAGTCTCAATTTTGAGGCCAACACCTGCTCTGCCACCATTTCCCCAGGAAATAATAATAACTACTGAGCAGGATCTGACAAGCAAAACACTGCTTGGCTGAAAGGTGTCAGAAGGTTGGCCAAGCTTACCCCTCCCCTCGCCTTTGTGTTTGGGCAGTTGTAATACGATTCTGCCACAAGGTGGCAGCCATACCTCAAAACCATTCCCAACCGGCCGGGAGGCTTTTTCCTGGATTTAAGTTAAGAGAGGATGGAGTATTTAAATGCTCCACCATGAAGCGTTTTGCAAGCCACTGTGCTCAGGGAAGTTGGAGATTCATCCATACTGTCATTCTCCTGGCAGAATTTGAAGTATAGGAGCTCAGTGGACCCAAAACTAAGGAGAAAAATACATAAAAATGAGAAGTGGACACAGCAAAACGAAACTGGCACCTCACCCCGCCCCCTTGAATAGAACTTCTGAGAAAGCAGCTTCAGGCAAACACTGGGATCCCCAGGCCATACTGGGAACCACTGCCTCGCCCTTGGCTTGGAGCTTCTGGGCAGGGAGAGCCCCCCCCTCAAACCTGTTTCCTTCTCCCAATCACAGCTGCTCTCCCAAGTGAAGGCCCAGAGGATGAACAGACCTAGGGACTGGTTCCCCCTGGGACCTACCTCTTGCCCCAGGGGTAACAGCAACACCAGATGTCATCACCATCCAAGCTGAGCAGCATTTAGCTCCACTTTTGTTGTTCTGCCACCAAAGACCCCATAAGCAGTGCTCAGCCAGGGTCCCATGGGCAGTGCTGAAAACGCCTGGCTGCCCTGCTGGGCCCAGGGCTCCCCTCTTGGCCAAGCCACCTCTGCCCTCCTGCAGCTTTTACATATTTTGGGGCCGGGGGGGGGGGGGTAGACACACTCTTGTAGACACCTTAAACTTGAAGATCTTATTTTTGTCTTTTCATCAATCAATACACAAAGGTAATAAGCTAGCAGCCAGGTTACTGTGTGATCCGGACGACCGCTCTGGCGGAGGCAGTCTCTCACTAGGTAGCCCTGCTGCATTGGAGCAGCTGAGAGAGCAGCTGCAAGCCGAGCTCTGCAAACAGCCGAGCTTAGGAAGCCAGGCTGCTGAAGGCCACATATGTCGGAAAAACCTGAACACATGACAAACAGCATCAGTTCTGTTCTCACTGCGTTTGTTTTGTAGGGAAGCGCTGCTTTTTTAAATTGAAGCTTCGTAGTTGGTGAGGACCATCACTAAAGCTGCTGCTTCCTCAAAATGCAAGAAGGGAACAAAGGCTGGGGAGGTGGCCTGGCTGCAGCAGGGTCTGGCTTCCAAGCCTCCCTCTCACCACTCACCAACTGATTGCAACAGGCACAGTGGCTCGTGATTGGCCGGGCACTCCCAGAGCCTCTGATGTCCACAGGAGATGTGTTTTCTGGTCCTGAGATCCTGTCTCCTGTTGAATCCTAGTTCTAGCCCATTGTGGGTGACCTATTGGTGTGAGGCACCGGCACCAGACTTGCGGCTGTCTCTGAGCGTCCCACCGGCCTGCTGCCTGGGGACAGAGGCTTTGGCACATTATTGAACGGAAACCTAACAGCCCCTCAGAACACTCCTACTCAAATTTAACAACACACTTCCTGGCTTGGGAAGTACTCCAAACACCAAGGGGGCGAGACATATTTATGTCTTGAAAATGAAGCACATTTACGTCATGCTTTCCCATGCAAGGGGTGTGTAGAACATCCTAATACCTATTTTCCCCAGTAGGAGAAACCCTGGCCATAACGCAGGCCCCATATAAAAATTTCCCTACATACAAGCCTTTTGTTGCCTGGGAAATATTTCACCCTTTGCACATGCACCATTCGCACCAATAATGGAGCTAATAAACAACAGCCATTTGTCCCCAAAGAGTTTTCCTTTGAGCGGCCTGCCTGAAGGACAGCAGGGGATGTTCTTCCCGTTTGTACCCGCAGAGAGGGAAAGGGGCTGAGTGCTCACGTCAGGCCCACTTGAGAGGGAACTGGAAAGCTCCTGAGCCTGGGCCTCTGACCGTCCTTGTTTCACAAAGAGGCACCCTGAGGAAAGCTGCAGAGGGCGCGGCTGAGCCCCCCTACAATCTGTCCTTGGGTGGCATCCCGGTCCTACGGGGCAAGCACGGGCCTGTCCACACTAACCAGGGCAAACGACAGAGCAGAATGTGCGCGTGCCCGTGCCTGCAGGACCAGAGGGGCATGGACCAGACACTCACTCAGCGCCCCCCCCCCCCCCCCCATCCAGCGCTGTAATTCAAGTGTACCGCCTTTCGCACGCCCACACGCACACGTGTGGCTTTCTTCTCAGGTGACAGAGCAACAGCTTATTAGACCCGGCAGATCTGTCCCTGGACCATATCCTAGTCTTTACATCATTGCAGAATTCTTTCTGCTGCCCTGCAAAAAGGCAGCAGGAGGAGAGAACAGCTTTTCGGTGTCTTTAATTAGGCAACAGGAAAAAACAAAGTCTGGCTGAAAATTACCACTTGAAGCTTGGCTGATGCCAAAAAAGCAGTACTGGCTCCCAGGGCTCGGGTACGTGAGCGCCACTGATTTCAAGTGTGTGAGTGTGTGTGTGTGTGTGTGTGTGTGTGTGTGTACGGGTGTGGGGGGGTGGGGGGTGGGGGAGAGGAGGGAGACAAAGGAAGCTGGTGTTCAGTCACCCTCTGGCATCTGCAACTGCCCATTGTAATACCAATCTAGAAGAAGCAGATCTTTATTGTTGGGGACAGATTTAAAAAAACAAACAAAAAAACACACACCCTCATTTCTGCTGTGAAAACGGATAGAATCGAATCTGGAAGTCATTGTGGTGAGCACAATCTGGAACCCGGGGGTGGCATTTTTACAACCGCCATCCTGCCTCAAGCTGCAGGGCCTGGTTTCCTTAGCTGCTGTCAGAAACCCCTGAATACGCGACAGCTGGTGTTTTAACCTGCTTCCAATTAGCGACAAGAATTTTAAGGTATTTTGGAGGTGCTTAGTGGAAATTAAGAAGCCACCCACTTCGTCTGTACCAATAACCTTTAAGATCGCTTGCACTATCAAGACAGGGATGTTTCACTGTCTTGCTCCCCCAGTATTGCCCCCCAAAGTCGCCATTCTATAACCCTAACGCACCATTTTAGTGTAGCTTCACACCGATCTTAACCTGCACCCCCTCTCTAAAGGGGATTCTGGCGCCAAGGAGCTAGTTGACTTTAGTGGCAAGTAGTTCAGTCAGCCCTGTACGGGACATAGGACCACAGATGACCTATTTTTTTCTGCTGCAATGACTCACAGGGACTCTTCACTGGACTTTGTTCCTTCCACCCCAGAAGATAAGTAGCTGCTACGAGACCACCTTCCTCCCAAGGTCATCACGATACAGGGTACGGACAGAAATCTTACCCATCTTCCTAAGGAGGTGAAACTCAACTTGTCCCTACCCCCATCCCACCCCCCAAGGGAGACACTGACAGGGTTCCCAGAGAAACCCCAGCCCTAAGACAGAGCGAGGTGTGAGGATCTCCAACTACTGCCTCATCCATCGCAGGGAGACACGGGCCGGATTCCTTGTGTTTCCCAACCTGGACTTCTCCAGCTTCAGAGCATCTGCTCCCCTACAGGGAGGGAATGAGCACACATGTCCACAGGGATGTCTACTCTGAGAATCCACCACCTGCAAAGGCGAGTCAAACCAAGAGAGATGGCGGCCAGGCCTCCAGCAGGGAGCGGCCTCTAGTGCTCTAATCCGAACGAGCTTTCCGGCTTCTGGAGGATTTGACAGATGACCACGTTGGGTCTCGGGGTTCTCGACAATTCTGAAACGTAGCCACCAGGTGTCCAGTGAACATTGAGAGGCTCTCCTATGTCCCATCCCCCTGCCCACCTCCTACAAGCACAGCACCACAAGCAAAAAGATGTTTGTTATTAAGGACAGGAATGGCCGAGTGGTTGGTAACGTCCAGAGATGCCTGCTTTATTGCTTACTAGGTGATTGCATTTCAGGCTGGTGACATCGAGTAACAGTCTTGTTACCAACTAATTTTGTACCTCTGAACTACAAATCAACAATCCAAATTCGGCAAGGAGCAGTGGCGTTACAGCTAACTGGGGGCTGGGTTTTCCAAATCCATGGTCTTGGCTGGCAGAGTGCCATGAGTGGGGCCACGGGGAAGGTCTGGGATTGCTTTAAGGACTCTGACATCTGGTTGAAAGAGGCTAAAACCCTGCAAGTCCCCAGGCAAACCCTCCGTCACAAATCCCAAGAACACAGATGTTATTCTCCTTTTAGTGGTCAGTTCAGCCCAAATAAGGAGCCGACTACCAGGGTCTAGCCAAGTGGGTCCAAGACCTGCTCTTCATCGCCATGTCCTCTGCCCTCACTCCCACCCTCGGCACAGCTCTTCCTGCAGGTTCTTAGGGGAAAGCAATGCTTCTGGTAATCTGTCTCCTTTTAGTTCTGCTTTGAAAAGAAAAGGGAATGACAGGGGTAACCAGAGGTGGGCATGGGCACCTCAACAGAGCTCCGTGGTCCCAGGCCCAGAGCCGGGCTGAGTCAGCGGTCTGCACTGGGAGGTGGTGCTCCTCTAAGAACCAGGGCCAAGTGCATCTCCTTGGGAAGAAGTCCAAGGGGGAAGGATTTATTAACAAAATTCCAAGCTAGTGGGGGCTGTTCATATGAGAAGGCAGAAACTTAGAGAAGGTCAAGATCAAGGAAGAAAGATAAGGAAGGAATGAGAGCTCT